AAAACTTAGATAAGTTTTTACAAAAATTTTAATCAGAATCACTGCTATCTTGGAAACTATGAAACTCTTCGTCTTCACTATCTTCAAAATCAAACTGAACACTGCTGTTTTCACTGCTACTGTCTTCATAAATCAATTTGTCTTCTTTAGCATCCAAAGCACTGCTTATGCCACATGTCTTAAAAGAATTGATAACTATTTCGAGTTTAACTGTGTCTCTTCATAATCGTCCGGCATATGCTGGGCAATCCTGGTTCTTTTTCGCATCTGAAGCTCATGCCTCTTCATAAATCTTTGGCACCATGATGCTGTCCCTTTGAAATCATGTATTTGTAACTCTGCTGATTTTCATTGCTTTAATAATTATCATTTTTGTTGATAAAGCAATGCCAGCTTTTCTTTGATTAAGTACAAATTCTTTTGCCTGTTCTTCCAATTTTAGACATTTAGCAATACCGCTGCAGAAATTGCATTTTGTTTTTAATAATGTCTTGATTTTTTCTTCATTTTTTCGCCACTCTCGTATTGTGCATTCTGTTGGTGGCTCTCCAAAATGCCTTGCTGCAGCTCTATTTCCATGTTGCTTGGCATATTCCACAACCTTTAATTTGAAACCGGCTGTATATGCTAAATGCTTTTGTCTTGATTCCATTAGGGATACCAGTAGTTTTAAGAAACTGAAATAAGTAATATTTCACATCACCCATGCGGTCTGGCACTCATTACTACACGCCGGAACGCTGCAAAGAGAGGAGGGAAGCTCGCAGTACTTTAGTGACATCACCTGTGCAGTCCAGCGTATAGTAATGAGCCAGAGCAAAGCGCCGGCGTTTTGCTCTGACACACTGAGTGCCAGACCACGCAGGTGATGTTACTAAAGACAGGAGGCATGGTTTAAGTGTCATCCATCAGAGGAGGAGGTGGGAAATGCACAGTTATAGCCCCAGTAACAGCCCTGGCTCAGATGAAGGCTCCACTCTCCCAGCCCTACCACTTGAGGTGAGGAGCCACAGGGGTTATACAGGGGCTTATACATCGGCGTATAACACGTATATTGGCGTATAACACACAGCTAGGATTTCAGCCCCAAATTTTAGGGGGGAAAGTGCATGTTATACACTGATAAATACAGTAAATGGTTTTTGCTTTCATTAGATTGTTTTTTACCTGTTGTGAGCTACCCAGAGATGCTTAGATGAGATGGGCAGCCATACAAATAGAAATTATTATTATTAATATTATTATTATTAATAATAATAATAGTTATCTGAAAGATTATCCAGACTGCTTACATGCTAAGCATTCTAGATAATGAATTACAGGTAGTCCTGGTTAAGTGACCACAATTGGGACCAGCAGCTTGGTAGTTAAAAAAAGTGGTCACTAAGTGAAACTGCACCTGTGCTTATGATCTTAATTCAACTTTCCTTTGCTTTACAGACCTGCAAAGGTTGTAAATGTGACTGGTCATAAAGTTACTTTTTCATCACCGTAGCAACTGCAAATGGTTGCTAAATGAGGCAGTCACTAAACGAGGACTACCTGCAAATGCATTTATTTACTTGTTGGATTATCTAGGAGTGCAAGGCAACATACACAGTGCTCCCCCCTCCAATTTTCTCTTCGACAACCATCCTGTCAGGAAAGCTGGGCAGAGAGTGACTGACCCCAATTTACTCAACATGTTTCTGTGGCTGAGAAACCCATATCTCCCTGGTCCTAGTCCAACATCTTAACTACTACACCACACTGCCTCCTCTTAGTAAACCTGCAATAATTTAAAGCTGCACAGGACTTTTTTTCAGCTGTCAAGCATAGCAGCCTTCTGAAAAAAATTTGCTTTTTTTTTTTTTTTTTGCAAAGGCCATGAATATAGTAACTTACCACTGGGTTTTTTAGCATATAATTGACAGCTTCCTCAAAGTACTCCAGGTGAAATTCCTTCACTTCTTTAGGAAGATCTTCATACCCATAATAAGCCAAAGCTAATACAGCAAAGCCATGATTGGCCATCAGACAGGCTGTATTTTCAGGAAGCCCTCCTCCAGTTCCAGATACCTGAATGATACCTGGAAAGGGGTCTTTACCTGCAAGAGATATAAAGTAGAAAAGCTGTTTTTATTTAGATTTCTTAAGAACTTAGCATACTTCCAATAAACTCCTGCATCAAGGATATACCACAAAAGGGCACATGGCTTGATTCATACAACTGGCCAAGCTATAATATGGTTCCTACAGTTACTTGACTCCTATCCCGAAGAACTGACCAATGAAGACCTTTAGAAGTGAATATGTGTAGCTCAGGGTTGAACTGTGGAGTCCTTGGGGTTCTCTGAGCTTGGTTGTTTTCTTGCAAACATTTCATTACCCAGCTGGGTAA